AATGAAGCTGACATGGAATGTGCTCTCTTCCCACAGCAGCAAACAGTGGGATCTTTTCAAGCTGTTTTGTATGACAGCACCGTTATCTCAAGGTCCTCTGAGTACCTCTGAGACACTGAGACAGAAAGGTCAAAAAGAAAAAAGTGAATGCACAATTTCTATGTGTGAATTAATTAAATACCTTCCTCAACCTAGCTATAATATTATAGTCAATGGCAAAATATTGATATTTCATTGATCACAGATTTGATAAAAGTACAGCTCTTTTTAATAGAAAAACAGAGAGGACATTTGGCCAATAGGCACCTCATGGTTCTAGGAAGCTCAGGACCTTGCTCTGGAGTTTAATTGAATACAATAGTGTAATATTCAAATAATCGATAAGTAACAACAATCCATTATCGTCCACTTATATGAAGTCTGGTTGTAGAAACAACATGTCCTCAAGGGAGATATCCAGGTTATAAGGGTTGTATATTCCCTACGGCCATGTCTGGGTCTTTCGTGAGGCCAACTCAGTTGAGCATGTCTGAAGCACTTCCAAATGGAGTCAACTGTAAAGCCTTTCACACCAGATGCCTGAGTCACCTCACCTCGCTTCAGGGGTTCTACACCTGTTTCTTGTTGAGAACCATGTGCTTGGATTTGGTGGAGTTTACTTTCATCCTGTCCACTTTACACTCTTCAATGCAGTTTACACCTATCCTGAGAAGGCTGGGCAGTTGGAACCCCCATTTTAGGTGAAACTCTCCAGTCCCTCTTCTTGAAAATGGGAACCATCATCCTGGTGCGCTATTCCAGTCATTGTCCAGGGCCTGCATGTGATACTGAATAAGTTTGTCAGCCGGAACAACACCACCTAACAAGGGCCTTTTAGCATGTCAGGGCAAATATCAGCCACCGCTGAGAATCTTTTTACCAATTTCTGTCAAGGAGATAGACAGTTCTTCCCCCAGCTACCCATCTATATTCAATTCATTCCAACATATTTCACCGAAAAAATGTCCACGGTGAAATAAATGGAATAAACCTTTAACAAACAACACCCAATTACAGCTTTGTGCTTTCTTTTTTCCTGATAATCCTAATGAACCTATTCTGAATGCATACATTTGCTTGCTTTACCATCCTTATGTATGAGCGTAATAACCACACCTGACACTTTGAGACTTTTTCTCTTTGTGTCAAGGGTCAAATAAGCCATCAAAGGGACATTGTTTCCATTGTCTCGGTTGCTTCAGTAAGAAAGAACCCTTTCACAAGCCCTAGCTTCTAACGGCCGGCAACTAATTTGGCTCCTAGTCAAGCCTATAGATTATATAACACAGTGGGATTCTTCACTGTGGTATGTAGAAAACTTCGTATCGTGCAGTGATAACAAGGGCAGAAGCTTGTGCTTAACAAAGCGTGGCCGTAATAATCTGCAAGAAAAACATGTTTGCCATCAGAGATAGTGAGCATTTGGAATGCCTGTCACGCTGAATATATGAGGGTGTCAGTTTTATAATTCTCTTAAGTCTGAAAATATGGATCACAACTGTGTGATCATACTAAATCTGCCACTTATTTTTACAATTTGATTCCATGTTGGCTTTGTGGGTGCATGGGCAGCACTTCCAAATGCAAAAAGAGTCTGAAGAAAATGAGAACAGCTGTGACCACAGAAACTAAATAGGATTAGACATAAGTTAGAGCTCTATCTGAGAAGGTTATAAAACAAACCATGCACAACACAGATTTGTTAATCATGACAACCATCACAAACACAGATCCGTCACATCAGCATTATCCAGTGTGGAGGCTAAAATATTAGATATTGATACGGACCACGGTGAGCTAATCTTTGTGGTAGATCAAGGCTTTTCTTGTCTGCTTGTCACTCTCCTTGTTAAGTTCAACATACATTTTTTACAACCCAGGATTTTCTTTGTTAATCAGTTTTCTCACTCCCACTATGTAAATCGATCACTTCTCAAATGTCTCAAAGGATTTTCTTTTAAAGTCCCATATTCACTCATTATACGTACTCATACACGTTCAGAATCCCTTTACTAAATAGAAGTATGATCAAGGGGGCAGTTCGCTAATCAAACAAAACTCATACTCTTTAAACAAACATTAATTGACTCAAGTGTAATTTAAATGCATGCAAATCAGAAGAATTACGGCAAGATTTTAATTAGTAAAGAAAAAGGACTCCTCTGATGTGCGTGATGCCTGGAGCAATATTTGAACCAGGATCCGGGAAAAGAATTCCTCGTGATACTGAAGAACGATTTAAAATGATTTCTGTTGCTCATCAATATTCATGTGTGTATAATGTGCACATTTACATTTCAGTATAAAATGAGCAAGCCTAGTGGCCATATTTACTGTTATGAATAAAAACACATGCCTGCAAAATTGTCAGTTTTTCCTTATTTGTTTTTGCTTGCTGAGTTTTTTACTTTCCAAAGAAACTAGGAACAGAAATGTTTCTACTATGAAATTCTTCCACAGGTCTAAAATATGACTGGACATGTAAGAGGATATTACGGAAAAGTGAGGAGCAAAGTCAGCCATTCAATCTCATCTTGTTCCAGGATGCATCTAAATAGAGATGGCAAAATCTCAAAAATCCTTCCCTCCTGTAATTAATGGTATTTCACGAAGGGTCATGTTACTGTAAGATTGACGTGCAGTTGTTTGCAGAATGCATTCACAGTATCGTCACAGGCCTTCCACATGTTGAAATTCTAGAAGAAAACGGCTGCCACCTACATGACGATGCTAAATAGAGAAGGTGAAGTATGCAGAGCAAAGGTTGACAACTGATACTGAAATGTTTGTGCTCACAGCATGACAAATAAAAAAATGGACATGTCCTTTTTTCAAAGATGTTGTTCAGATTTGCCACACTTTAGAGATAAATGAGCATGAATACCAGGAAGAATCTTTCTACCACTACTGACTAAATCATAGGTCATTACTTCTTGTTTCATGTCATAGTTTAACCCTCTACATGGTGCCAGAAACAAACAACAAATGCAATTGTCAACACTCATTGATTAACGTAATATACAGCAAATGTTTGTGTACAATAGAAGGAAGCCAGAGTAGCCACAGGATTTGAACCAGGAACCAATTGCTGTGAGGCAACTGGCAACCATGCTCACCGCCACACCACTTTGCAGTCATGCATAAACATTCTGACAAATATTAACAGTCTTATATGATCTTTGCACAGTCAGTGACATGTTCAGTGAATGCATCATTAAGCTAAGTCTCACAGAAGTTATAGTTACTGATTACTTACTGATCTGAAAACAGATTTGAATCCATAAAGACCCAGTGCAACATACAAATGTACCCATGACAACATTGGCAGTAAACATCAAGTCTTGTTAAAACATAACCATTTCATACAATTAAATTGCTATCGGATATGGGGAGTCGAACATCTTGCCCAAAACTGTTTAAACGAAATACAAACAAGTTTATTCAATCTATTAAAAAGGATGATCCAAAAATATATAACTAGGAGTCTCACATCAGCACAACCAAACGGTAGGTCCACTTGTGCAGCATGATTCATGTCTTTGAGATTGTAGTAGAATGTGATGCTCTCTGCAGCAAATCTGATGTTTTTCCACATATTAAAAGGACTTGAGCATCCTTCATCAATGATGATGAAAACATGCTCATTTTTGCAGAATATTATGGGTTTTGTCGCTTATTTGCAATAAGCTGACAAACACATTGTCCAATGAAAAGAGAAAACAAAGCCAGGAAAAAGAAGGGTGAAAAAAGGGTGAACATTCAAACATTATCAAAGTAATTTGACCACACTGACGAAAGAATTATGTAATCTATTCCTCAGCTTCAAAGAGGCATACAGACAGAAAAACTATGCCAAAATAAATTAACATGATCTGAATAATCAAGCTGGAGGGGAATTTTCTAATAACATTAAAGAGATCTCAGGGTTCATTCAACAATGACACTTAATGTTTGATCACCATGACAATAACAACTTTACATTTCCATTCATCCTAATTAGGCCATCCTTCTTTCTGAAGGCCTGTCGTGGTAATGAAGAAGTGCAAGCGCTGGTGTACCTGAGTCAGACTAAATAGATTTGTGATTTTATTTGACTCTTTCATCTCGTTGAACATACAAGGTAACTTTAGGCTTATCGTCTTGAAAGGTTTCACACATTTAACACAACCCCAAAGCTTTGCTGAAGGCCAAAAGATTAGTAAAGGAGGTCCTTTTTGTGGTTAATCCTGTTATAAAATAACAAATGTCCTGCTTTGTTTTACCAATTAGGTGACTTTCAAAAACTGAACAAAAGCTCCTCCCACTTCATGAATTGGTTCTCGGTCAACAAACTTAGATTTACATCTTTTTTGAGAGTCTGTTATGTAAAGCACTTTGAATTTTCTTGTATATCAAATGTGCCATACAAAAAAAAATGACCTTGCCTTTTACGATTAGGTTCAGGAACAAAATCATTATTTATTAATTCATTCAGAGACACCGGATGAAAAAAAGCAACTTTGAATTATGTAAAGTAACTATTGTCAACATTTCAATTGTGAAGTTCACCAAAACATTTAATCTTGAATTTTCATTTATTCCATCATCAGCACACATACTACATGTCTTATCCCCATAATTCTGCAATCATTTTTGTTTTTACTAAAAAAGAGTTTTTGAACAATTGGAGAATGTACGTTTTTTTTAATCTATACAGTTTCAACTGAACATGTAGTTATGTTCATTCTTGCATTAGTGCTTGGAAATACTGTGCTGATTCCAACGTTCTTTAAGCTCTGATATGGCAGAGGTGCTGAGTCTGATTGGTCTGTTGTGCTGAAGCACTGCACTCCTGTTGCACTTGCACAGCAAGCATTCTCCAGACTCCTCCCCCTGAACAGGCTCTTTAATTCCTGTGAGGGGATGCTTGGGTAGTAACCCAATAAAGCTGCTGGATGCGGTCCCAGGGCACAATGTGTGGCTCATGTTCATCTGAAAGACGGGTTCTCTGCTCAACTCCTGCATTCAGACAACCTGCTGCTCTTCTGTAAGTACTGCAGGTAGCGACCATTCAACTTATGAAGTAGGTGGGATCAAGGGAGACGTGTCTCTGCTGGTTCATTAAATCATCAGGACTTATGAATGACGACATATCACAATCAGCTGGGACAGAGAGACATAGAACACGTACTTACATTAGGTAAGTTATAGCTTTCCATGGCTAAAAGTATCATTGCAAAACTGTTCAAAAGGATGTTTCATTTTCCCTTAAGGTACGGCACCTCATCAACACTAAAGTTTAGAAATGTTGCAATTCAGCATTCTGTAGATCTTTCCTGCATCCTAATTTGAGTTCAATACTGGCATCAATTAACCATTTGATGCTTTGACATGTGCATGTGATAATTTGTCCTCATGCACAATGTTTAAAGAGTGCTCTGTATGGCATTTTATCATGGAAAGTCACTGGCTTAAATCCCTGGTGGAGTTATTAATGTTTTGCCCAGAGGCAGCTGTTCTGATAAGGTTCAGTACATTCCCAGCCACACACCAGGAATACACAAGTAGGCCAATCATTTCTCTTGTTATTCTCTTTGCCAGAAGGGTCCTGTCCTGGTGTAACAGTCTGGGCATAATGGTGGCTTTTAAAGGAATCTGGACCAAGGACTTCTGGAGGGCTGTGTCCGCAGAATACCTGGCTACTCTATTTTTCACCCTCCTTGGTTTGGGTTCCACTATCAACTGGTCTGCAGGGCAAGAAAAGCCCCCCCCAGCTGACCTGGTGCTCATCTCGCTGTGCTTTGGCCTCAGCATTGCCACTATGGTGCAGTGCTTTGGCCACATCAGTGGCGGCCACATCAACCCCGCCGTCACTGCAGCAATGGTGGTTACAAGAAAGCTGAGCCTGGCTAAAGCTGTGTTCTATGTGGTGGCTCAGTGCCTGGGAGCTATTACCGGAGCTGGGATTCTCTACTTAGTCACACCTGCTGCTGTTAGAGGATCCTTCGGAGTCACCGCGGTAACAACTTAACCATCTTGATTTATAATTCATAGGAGTAAGATACATGTTTGTATTTATCAAACGTTCTGTTTTCAAGGTGAACTCCAATATCTCAGTTGGACATGCCCTCGTTGTTGAGCTCCTCATCACATTTGAACTGGTCTTCACTGTCTTTGCCACCTGCGATCCCAAACGCACAGACCTCGGAGGCTCTGCAAGCCTTGCTATTGGTTTGGCTGTGACTATAGGTCACCTATTTGCTGTGAGTAATCCCTCTGTGTTGTAGCATAAAAGCAGCAGGCTTGATTTTTGTGCATCACAATCTGAATAGAACAGCCTCAGAAACAGCCTCCTACAAACATACTGTATCAACATATAAAACGATTCCTCCAGCAGGGAAATACAGAATTTAAAATGAATGATAAGATCATTTTATTCCCTATATTACAAAACTGCAGAACAGGACTGATTTAAAGAGACTTTATCAGAATAAGAAGAGGTGATTCAAGCATGTATTGTCAGGGTGTATGATGTTCACTTCTTAGTGATTCACATCCACTTGTGCGAATCTTTATTGGAGGTTGCCATTGCATGGCAACCGATCTCCAGGGGCTTCAAAAACCCTGAGGTGCCTATGAATGCACAGGGAAATGGATGTTATTTCTCAAGCTGCTCCAGCCATCTCTTCCTGGTCTGTTTTTAAATATCTAAAGAAGATACAGCTTTCACTGATTCAGAATGAGGGAAATAATAAATGAGCATGCCTTACGTGTATGTCTGATATTTGATACAACTCTAGTGTTTCACCCTGAAGATGAAAACGATATAACTACTTGTCTTTCAGATTCCTTATACTGGAGCCAGCATGAACCCTGCTCGCTCGTTTGGGCCTGCAGTGGTCACACTCAATTTTCAGAACCATTGGGTAAGCAATTCACCCTTAATTGATATTTCAACGTTATTTTACGTTAAATGGTTGTGAACCAATATCAATTTGATGGATTTTTTTCTCTGACAAACAGTACATTAACCAGTTGCTGTCGTCTAGCTTCATAATGTGGTACTGCAAAAGAAAGTGTAGAAGAGCATTAGCTTGTTCTCTGGATCCAGGCAATTAATGAAACATTAGTGTGTGTGAAGTTGGCATTATGGTCATAGTTAGCTTTAGGTTACATTAACTTTAAGGATTAAGGTTTTGGCACCCAGCTCTCAGCTATAATGGATGGGATTTGACATAGGAGATTCACCATCCCAATAGTACCACTGCAATAGAAGTGGTTTCTTTAGGTACATTTTTGTCGGCTTATTTGCCATTTAAGAAAATCACTTCATGAGTTCATTGAATGGGCTTATTTTAACATTTGAAGATTCTGCATGTCTTCATAGCTAATATGTTAAAGTAGCCTCTCTTGTTGACGCATGAGTAACAATACAGCCATTACAGGGATTTCATGTAGGGATTCCAGCTAATGAGACAGTAATTAACCAGACAGCTGATTAAGGTCTTTTTCTTTAATGTTAATTGTAGGCGTACTGGCTGGGTCCCATTTTGGGAGGTATCTTGGCAGCGGGTTTGTATGAGTACCTGTACTGTCCTGACCCTGTGATAAAGAAGAGGCTGAAGCAAGTGTTTCAGAAGGACCCATCAGGAAAATACAAGGAGGTGGAAACTGACGACCTGGCCATCAAGCCAGGCTCCATCCATAACATCGATCTAGAAAAAGCAGAAAAGAAAGATTCTCCCAGGGACTCAACGGGAGAAGTGTTGTCTTCGGTATGACTATCACGTGCACTGGAAATGGAGACCAATTTGTAAAAAAAGAATGACAATCAAACTTTGGAATATCCATTGAGTCTCTCACCCTCCAAAGGAATTGCCCACAAATCAGAAAATTCTGTCAATGATACAAGGGAGCTGTGTAATTTTCAGTGCCAACACAATATGATATTACGGCTCAATCCCACAAACATCTGCAGCCTGTTCGATTCACCTTCTGGAAATCCCTCTGAGTGATTTTACAGCAGTGTTGTCGTGCAGTGCACTTTGCACACTGCAGAATGACAGTTTACAATACATTGTGTTAAGGACATGAAGCCGGGTCAACCAATTATGAGGGGTCATCAAGCTGAATTGGAAAAGTGAAGAAGAAAATGCAGCCTTGTTATTTTTGGATTAGTGTCACATTCAGTCTGTCTTCTGCATATGTTACAAAGGGAGAAATTGTACGTGTGATCATTAATCTCATTATGGATCCTCAGCAATGTAAGACAGCTCTGACAAGTTCTATTAACAAATTTGCTTCACAGGGCTCTCTATTTTCAGTGCATTAATCGGGAAAACAATTATTATATTGGATGATTACGGTTTTTGTGAAAAACCACCTCCACTATTATTGTTATACAGAGAATTTGTTTTGGTTTGATAAACATTGTCTATGTAGTTTTTCGTTTTTTACTGTAGATCTTATTTTTTATAACCTTTTCTCTGTGCTATCTGCTGTAAACCATGCTTAAATGATTAATTTATTAATAGCTTAATCTGATTGATTTTATGTTGTATTTTCAGACTGTTGTATCTTCAGACTTAAAGTTTGACAAGATGTGAAAGATATTAGTTTGTTATCGTAATAAAAGAGTCTTATCTGATCATTTCTGCATAAGGATTTAGAATAGTGATGTATTTTGTAATCTCACTTAAATTATGTATCCCAATTTCCTTAGAAATGTCTAATTAGAGAGCTCCCTGCATATCGGAACATATCTCCACATAGTCTTATTCCTGAACAGGAAGTCTTCTATTTATACTTCTATTTTATACTTCTGTCTTCACATTTGTCAAATGTTCTCTGCAGTTTGGAGCATGCTGCATGTCGTCAACATTGCACAACTATATATTCTACCATTTCCAAGGCTAGACATAATGTAAAATTCAGAAACTTGATTAAAAAAGTTCAACCAACTTACTCATAATACAGTAGTCTCATCCTCAGAGGAGTTTTATTTACGTGGCTATAGCCTCACCTAAAGGCCAAATTGTGTATCGCCTAACTTTCAAAAGGGATCTATTTGCTTTTGTCCAGACGAGGGCGGCCACGAGCCTTGAATGGGCAGGCTTCACTGCAGGCCTTGGTAGACATATGTCAGTTTTATTCATAAGGCTTTGCTGCATTTAATTTGAAATATGTGCAAACCATTAAATCAGAGCTACACAGCAGGTATTGCTTTGCCTTATAACAAAGACCCAGAAGTCAAGTATGAGCGGAGTTAATGGTGAAGTGCTTTCTGGACCAATCTGTATTCTAAGCACTTTTTCACTTTCGTGAAAGTAGTTTTAAAAATTGCTTGAATATTTTCACTCACCCTACCTTAATTAAATTGTGTCAATGCTTTTCTTTGCATGAGATTGTCCTGTTTGAGTGCTGCTGCAGCACCATCTTACCTGCTTCCATGTTACCTTACAGCTTCAGTGGCTTGATGCCAGCATCCTCTCAGCTCCTCTTAATCATCTTTATAGCCCAGATAAATTAGCGCATAAATCTTAGGTTTCTTGCACCAATGATATCTTCCTTGGACATACAATCGAGACTGAGACTCAGATTAGATTTATCGTTTCCTGCTCCTCTGGAGATTACTGGTAGATGACCATGTGAGGGTAGCAGACCCTGTTGCATTAGAAACGTGGTTTCCCAATAATATATAATTTTGTATTTACTCCAAATAACATATATATTAGCATGAAAGCAAGACCTTTGGGAAATTTAATAGTTTTCGCAATATCATACAGTGTCCACCAAATCATGAGATTACATAAAAATGCATTAATTGCCTTGATAAACTTCCAAAAGGTTGTTGCAGAAAACCTATCACGGAAAGGCGACTAAGAAGCAGCAACAAATAAACCACTGTCAATTTTTCTGTTATCTCTTTGTTTAATTCTTGCATTGCATTTCATGCTGTGTCGAATAGAAACATCATTGTGTATGAAAAAACATTGTTGCTTTTGCTTCTAAATTCACAGTCACATTCAATGCAAAAGTCAACGGTAACTGCATAATTGTAATATAGTTATAATGAGAGATTAACTTAAACAAAATATTGCTGCTATCAAAGTATACATAATAGTAATCTAACTGAGGGTAAGCTGAAACCTCAAATTCTCAATTTGAGTATGCCAGAGAAAGGCTAAAAGAGATAAAACACACACCTTAAAGATCATTAGCAATTAATATTTGGGGATTTATGAGGAAAAACAGTGTTAAACACTTGTTTAATAATTCATACTATAAACAAGAAAGTCTCCCACTTCCTTAATAATTTAGACGTAAGCTAATGTTGATTTATTCAGGAAGGTCTCTGCCACCAGCACCGCCTGGAGTGCCCAAATTTGAATTAAAGTAGGACAGTAGCAGGCGAGTCTGTAATAACATTTGTATAATTTTATTATTGCTCTGGGCTCAGTTCATTTCCTCCTCCAGTAGCTGCGTGAAATTGTTTGATTCTGGAAACTGCCTTGAGTCTGCGGCTCTGGGGTTGGAGGGTGGTACAGGAACAGGAAGGCATGCGACACTCTCCGTCTGATGCTGTCAGACACATAAACACAGACTCCACGTATACACACACACATGCACAGAGAGAGATAAATAACTTTGTTATTCTGGGTTTTGTAATACTGTTACATTGGCTCACTTAATAACTCAAGCTGTCTTGAGAATATGATTGATATTTTCACTCACCTTGTCACTTATGATGAATATTTTACTGCGTTTATGCCAGACAGCTTGGAAGAAGAGTAACTCATTCATTATGTTATGAGATTAGAAAAATATGAGTTTGTTTTAGACCTTTTTAAAGCAAGATTCAGTCAGATCCATCGTGGATGTTTCTTTGCAAAGAGTTGGTGAAGAAGTTGCTATGTCGACATTCCAAACTTTACAACAAACAAATCTTTAACTTGTTCTGTTTCATGATTAACATGTAAAGTCCATAATCATTTGGAGGGGCTACTAGGCTTTAAGTCCTGTGTCATTTCCAGTTTGTGGGGTACCACATTGTGATTTTGTTTACCAGTGATGGGACTATCATTTCCAAAATGCTAATTTACAAAACTCTGATTACTCTAACACAAACAATCAAGTTTGGGAGGTATTAGCTCATGTAACACACACCTGAGACCCTGATGGCTTTGACACAGGAAGGGAGGGAGGAGAAGTTCTGATTGGTTTCCTCGAGGCTCTGCTTCTAACTTCTAACTCACACACATTCCCTCACTCCTCCTCTTCCACCCCCTTCAATTCCTTTATGCAGAGCAGCCCAAACTGCAGTTTGATGAAACACATTTGTTTGACTTAACTCTTGCCTCACCATCATGGCTAAATCTCACAGGCCTGTTGGTGTAATGTGGCCCAACAGCAATTGGGTTAATGAGAGGATATATGTACAAGTGTGGGACTTGACCCGAGGAGCTGTTTTCCATTTGGGTTTGGTCTGCTCATGTTATTAGGGAAACCTTTATTATTGTTGCCCTCTAGTGGGAACCATATAATAGGATTACATTTTATTAGAGCCTCCTAGCATTACCCAAGCAGCCCCCTCCTCTTGTCTCTGTTCCCCTCATTGTTGTGTCACTGACTCCTGTGTCCACTGTGGGTGGGATGGTTACATTTAGGGCTCAAAGAGAAGTCAACAAGTGGGAAAAGAAGTGATCTTAACAGATAACAGGTCATGAATCTTGCTTGTCTTAAATCTTGATTTCTTTACCTCTGAAACATTGCAATGACCAGAGCAGATTGTCATTTGCCAAGGGTGGTAACCCTGGTGTAACAGCAAGGGATATTAGACATAGTCATGCAAATACATTGTTCAGACTTTGCATAGTTGGGGAAGAACATGAGGAAGTATGATGCAGAGCTTAACTTCTACTAATTGAATAAAGAGGTTCCTTTTTGTCGTGATGGTTTGACTTGAACAACACTATGGCAACAAAGACACTTTTGAAAGCTATATTTCATCTTGCCAAAAATAATATTTGATGAACAGTTTCAGCCTTAAACTGTGCAACACTGCAGGGCAAACTGAGTCAGGATCTGGAACAGCCTCAGCACTTTCCATTATCCATCCCACTCCCTTACATAACCACAGGACCATTAGAGGGGTGTGGTGTGCATAGCAGCAGCTTTAACAAAAGTGTGAGCCTTAACCGACAAATCACCTCGTCCATACTTTTCTGCAAGGCCTGAAGAGCAGTGGTTGTTCACAATTCAAGAATTTACGACTAAGTCCAGGACTGACTTGATGTACATTGTTCCTCCACACAGCAAGTGACTGCATTAACTCTTGTCATCCTCTTTGAATCAATCAATTTAAGGTTTGTGTCTTTTTAATGGACCTTATGGCCACAGACCTTTTGGTATGTCTGGGTCAATGTATATTGGATGTGTGCATCCTCTGCTTCACCATTGTCAGATCCAAGTTCAAATGCAAATGCTAATTTGTTTAACAAGAACAACGGTTGCCTTATCAGCACTCCATCTTCCACTGCTTTGTTGTATGATGTTGAAAGTGCTTGATCTTCTCAGACTGAAAAAGGTATTGATCAAATGTTCTTTGTTTTACATATTGCACTCTAGCCACTACAGAGGGATTTAAAAAATGTGTTACGTGAAAATGTAACTGCTAATAGATATATGGTATTTGATGAAAAGCACACAAATATTAAAAGAATAGAGGATTTGACTAAAAACAATAATGTTAAATGCATGTGAACTGATAAGTAACCAAATGGCATAAAAATCTTAACTTAAAAGGGCACATCTTTTCTTAAAAGAAACTGTAGAGTGAATTAGATCCATGAGTTCTGGAATAGTAAATGCTATATCTGATGCTATATCTGATGGCTAACTATTTTTGCCATGATCTGAACATTAGCACAATCCAAATTTACTTGTATGCCCCCAAGTTGACTTCATAAAGCACTGGCAAATATGTAAACAATTACGCTTACAACAGAGCTGACAATCCATTTGAAGATAAAAAGCAATCCCTTTGTTGACCTGAGCACCAACAATAATGGTAATATATCTCTAACAGAAATTTTGCACAAGTCTGCAAAAGAGTATCCTCAATGAAAACAAACATTTCCATTATCATATTGATACCTTTTGGCATGAGGGCTCATCACAGCATATCAGCATTGAATCACATTGGTATGGCAGGAGTTTTCAGGTCCTTTAGGAAGGTGTTCTTCCTGCCACAATCCTCACATTTATCCACGCTTGAGACAGACACAAACAGGAAACCGACAGAGGCCAGATTTGAGGCTGAAGTGCAGGTAAATTATTGTTCAATGTCTTGCCCAAAGACACTTCAGCATGCAGCCTGGGATCAAACCACCAACCCTATCATTGGCATGGATCTAAAAACGGTTGGTGATAGTCATACAAGCTCCAGTATGTGAATTGAGAGAGAATTGAGAGCAAAATAAGCAGAGAGGAGTTTTTAAGTTTACAATCAGACTTAAAGGTTTAATGCATGTCACTGTAATTGAATAGTGAAACTAGATCAAATGATATTATCTACCTGAGAAAGGGTGCATTGACTTACATTATTTACTTTTTATTTAAAATGTTAATTCAATGGTAAATCGTGACTTGAAATGTTTTTTAGCCACATTTCATACCAAGTAATTAGGGATATTTCTGCAGTCAGTCTCCTAAAGTTCCAACAGATAAAATGACTTTTCCAGGCCTCTTCTCTGTGAGAATTTCTAACCTCATGATGTAATTCGGATTTGTTTCTGTTTAAGACAACCTTACATCTGCAACTGATCTGGATGATTTGACCACCTAAATACGTTTCAGCCCGCCGCTGCTTGTCTGTTGAGGCTGCAGTAAGTTAGGTCTGATCCAAGTTAAACACCACCTTTTCAGAGAGACATTGAAACAATGAGTTTTTGGGTGTGCAATAGCCAATGCATCCTGCAACCTACTCTTGTTATCCCACCATATCCATAACATCTGATGCATATTTTGAATACTTACGTGAGAGCATTGCATTAGGACTGGGTTCCATTTGTGCAGAAAATGAATAGCGTATGGGATTTTAAGGCCTTGGGTGTTCTCAGTCAGACTAATGGCATAAAAATGTGCATGGATCCCCAACATTTAAATCTTGTATAGTGCACCAGCCTGCAACTTCTGCGGCACATAGCTTCATTGTAACACTCTAATATGGTGCCCATTTTCCTGTGGGACACAGTGATCAAAAACTGGAAAGTTTAATGAGTGTATCAGATGGGATAGCTGGCCTCTCATCAAAAACAATCTTGTTTGTCATCCGTGCAAAATTCAATCAGAGGGGAACTCTTTTGATGAGAGGTTTGGAAAATACTTTTGTTTGCTTGCCTCCATCAGTCTCCGATCTCTTGTTGATGCATTCTTATTGCACTGTTGCTTGAACTTAAAAACAAACGTGGATTTAGTTTTCTCCCTAAATGAACACCAAAATAAACAGTATTCATGCAAATATTTATATCACGTTGGTGTTTTCTCCATCCCCTTCACATGTGCTTCTCCAATGTTGGCTAATTATACAACAACTTTCCTAGATTGATTTACCCTGCTATCAAAAGACAGAAAGGAAAGCAAAAAGAGAGTCGATGCTCTTAACAGTAGGGGGCGTAAGAGCCATTCCCGGCCCACTCTGATCTATGGCATGAGGAAAATCGTCAGTTCTATGTCTTTTGCATTGTCGGTTCTATGTTCAGATGTGTTCAGAATAGCACTCCTAAATCAGACAGCACAATTATGTATGTTGACTTAAGAAGTACTTTAAACATGTTATTCTTTTACTGTGTGTGTCCCTAAGTGATTCAAAAGCCTCAGAAGTGCCTCAATCTTCCTGAAATCACGCATGGTTGAACATTTGAAATGAGCTCGCACATCACCCTCAGGCATTGATTCAGACTTGATTGAGGCAAGGCAAGCTGCAAGTGCTTATTTATACAACTACGTCATTTGGAGGCTGTCCAAAGACAGGAAAGGGGCTAAAAAATGTTGTAAAGGATGAACTACGATGTGATGATTTCATTGACCACGTTGAATTAATTTATTAGCTTGATTTCTGTTAATCAACAAGTTGTGTGAGGGATACTTAATGTGTCCATGGCATGCGCAAAAGAAGCAGGCCAGACAGGTTAGATCTTTGAGAGGATGGGGGGGGCGGGGGGGGCGGAATCAAAGGACTCCACCAACAATCTATATAATTATCATCATCTGCCGCTTTTCCTCCCTGGCAAAGAAACACTCCATCCATTTGTAGAAATCGCCCGGGGGAACGTTACATCAAAACTAATCATAACGATTAGAATCAGCTTCCCTGCAAGAAGGAGGCGATAGGCAAGTTAGAGGCAGGGGGGTGAGGGTGTTGTAAGTGCAGAAAAAAAAATTATTTATTTGATTTTATAAAAAAACATAAACTCAACAAAGACTGAGGCGCTGTTGCTGTGATCCCTTCTTTTGCTCGCAGTTTTACACAACAGATTGGTTTAGACTGGGGCAGAGACATGAGCTAATTGTATCCTGATCTTTGCCTTGAGGGGTTTCGGAGCCCTGGAGCAAGTATTCTCTGTATTTTGCTCTGTCTACCTTTGCCAAGCTATTGCATTTCTCACTGGTGTGGGAAGAGAGGAAGATCCTAGCCAAATCGGAGGAGAAAGGTGCTCTAAAAGATACTTTATGTCCCTCTATGTTTCAGGTAAGCGAAGATTTATTTGGTTTCCTATTATTTCCGAGGTTGGATGGACTGGGACATTGAGGCGCAGCAGCTTTTACGCATGTGCCAAGCGATTCAAGCGGTACAGTTCTTAAAATATTTAACCACTTCCTGGCTATTATTCTGAGAGACTACTGTGTGATTTTATACGCGTGACAACAAAATCGGACACTTTAAGAGCCGCGTTCTACACGAACCGCGGATAAGGCAACGATCTTGTCGAGCAAACACTCCACTTATCCACCGTGTGAATTCGCTCCTGGCGCGTTTCGGCTCCGAAAACATCACTGTCTGCGTTTCGCTGCCGATGCACAACTTGCTCATAACTTCCTTAAACGCGTGTTTTTCGTCTGTATGAGGGTTTTTTTTTTCAACTCGCTTGTGCGAAAAATTCCCCGTTTCCTGCTTGCCCCAGATCATCTAATGAAAGACGCCATTGTGGAGTAATTTTGCCGCAGGCGTATTTCTTATTCTGTATGACAGGATACACACGTCAATGCAAAATTTGTGATTCACCCTTTAATACAAGCCGTGGCTGTGTTAAGAGATCATATTTATATAAAAGATGAAAAAAAGAGTGAATTCTTCCTTCTTTTCTCTCTTATGTCTTTCTGACCGCGCCGTGCGTAATCAACTTCAGGGTCCGGATGAGCAAATATGTTGTTAGTAAGTAGTACTGAGTGACCATATGAACTTAACTCTGCTTTGGAGCATACTATGTACTGAATACATAGAATTTCCCTAAAGTTCAAACTATTGAATACATTTTGTCGTTTTTCCAAATGAAAAACTGTTTCATGTTTGATGACTCAAACCTTTGTAACAGGGTCAGACTTGTAATGGCATAACAAAAGGATAAAAGTTTGCATCAAAAGTCAATAGTCAGCTCCATCCGTTCCAGAGACTTAATGAGTGAACTGAATTAGAGGGAGATGTTGGCTTGTCAGGAATGATCACCTGATGGCGCTGCAACAAAACCATCCCATGCTGCTTTGTGCAGGTCTCACCTTCAGTGCCCTAAATGAGCACAGATTTGAACTAGGAGCGGACAAATAAAAACAATAGAGAGAAACATCCCGTTACACAAAAACGTGAAGGCCTTGAAGCGACACGTTCTAATATTTCATGCCGTGGCTCTGCCACTCCCGCGCCCTGGGACAGGTCTGTGCCAGTGAACATGCACCACTGTCTCCAACCGCCCGCAGCCACGCAGCGCAGGTCGCACCTCCTTATTCGGGGTGTCACGCTGATGCACAGCTGCAGCAGCCCCACCAAGACTTATTCTGGAATAGACAAGAAGCCCTAATTGTAGCAAAACTGAAGGACTGTTTCAGTGCCTGTTTTTGACAAATCAAGCACTATTCTAACATCAGTCATTCAGGGGTCAGATCTACAAACTTAGTATCAGTGCATTTTAAACAGTTTTAACAAAAATCTATATTCCAAACACATTTAACAAAATGTGTGTATTCTCAACGAGGACTAGATTTGCATAGGTCATGTAATCTGAATGTTTTAACTTTTATAACTCTTTAATCATATTCTTAACATTGACATCATTTCAATACTGAGAGAGAATGCAGCTTCTCTTGTGGCAGATACACATATAGAATACAATTTCTCTGGAGTTTTGAAATTGTGTATATTTTGATGTACAAGCCAGCCATTGTTCATCAGAACTTTGTCAAATCTGAAATATGAACTTTATCTCAGACATGAAAGATTTACGAGTGCTTACGAATATATATTATCAATGTAAGACTTACTGTACATGTGGTTTTGCAGTGACTTGCTGTCCCCTTTACAGCCCATTTACAGATCCCAAAGTGATCAGACCAGTATTCCCCCAGTGGCCCCCAGGCCACTCTGTTATGATGCTTCACTACCTGTTATTTTGTTGCCTCTACAACAGGCGGTGACTGAAGTTAACCCAAAGTCTGTGGCCGTCTGCATATGGACATTTGAAACAAATAGCCACAGGCAAAACAGCAGAGACAGCCCATCCAGATTATGTAAATACCACTCTGCCTGCTCGAACTGCATGTTAATGCTCTGATATGAAATGCTAATTGTGTGTTGTGCCGAAAACAGTGAGGGGCTAGGACAGACAGACGATGAGTTACTTTGTTCCTAACCCTGATCCCAAAAGGTCATATGTTCACCGTGACACATGGTTTCTTCCAAACTTTATGGAAAATACATCTATATGCCCTGCATCAAACCGCCGCACAGTTAATTTCTTTACGCATTTCTTTTTTCTTTTTTTTTTTGTATTCAAATGTCAAAGACAAAAGTCACCAAAAGAGTACTGGTGGAAACCAGCAAGACAAAAAGGAACAGCCAAAGTTGAAATGATTTTAGATTACTCTGTACAAGCCATGGAGCAATACAATTACCCAAGTCCGTTGAACAAGGAAGTCAGAAAATAAGCTTTAAAATTGCTTTTCCACGTTCAAAATGACATCAGGAAGACCGGCAAATGCATGCAGCCACTGGTGGCTGATGCTGGCCTGTGGATTTCAAACGAGTTTTGACCTCTGAATTGTTCGCGAGCCAACTGTTTTCCAGACTAAAATGGGATGTGGACATTAATCCAAGAAAGTGTTCCGTGTGTTTTAACTCCCACCAACTTACAACGATTTTGTGATATAAGAGCTCAATTCCCTCAACCCCCACCTGCCACCCACCCAACCACCAGTTCCTTTTCACTCCCTCTTCTTTCTCCCCTGCAATTTTCCATAATGCCTCACAGATTTTACACTCAATCCACCTTTGCGATGACAAGGCTTTGAGGAAATCCAATTCCACCAAGCTGTTTTCAGAACTTACTCTCCACAGGCACATATTCTCTCTCACATTCGTACACACACACACACACACACACACACCACCATCTCCACAAATTAGTCAGGGAACAAATTACCTGCATTCTGAGTGTGATCCCACGCACTTTGCCGGCTGCCTTACACAGGTCCCCTTTTGAAGAGCAGCCATGTGATTTCTCTCTCTTCTGCCCCGCAGGCTCCTTTGCCTTCTGCGAGGGATTCTGGAGTTGAATTTTAAAAGTATGTATGGCTGCTGCCTGCGCTTATCAGCGCGTGCACAAGTGGCATGCAAATCAAACCAGGATCACACACCGCATTGGAGGCCTACACTCAAAGGCAAGCTTAATTGCTAATTGGGTATCTAGGTGTGAAACCCACACTGCCAATGAGAAGCAGGAATGTGGATGTTTTAAGGCCAGTGGTTGAACTAATTAATTTTAATCTGAATGTTATTAAAAATTGTGGATTCCCTGCATTTTCTGCGAAAAACAGCCCAAGAGAGTGCTGCCGAAGTACTTTTAACTGCAGTTGGACGTGTTTTGGTCTGGTTTGCACCGCATAACAACATTATGTGGTTGTTTTTTGCAATGCTGATGTGGTCATTGGAGGTGGTGCTTTAATAATGTAGCCCCTTACACCCGCATGTATGGTGGACACCCAAAAGGATCAAAAAGTTTTCCAATTCACCTGTCTGTGAGGGATATGATATCCCTTGAGATGTAATGGCTTTATTGTCATAAATTACTCTTGAGCTGCTATTAAATTGGGAATATTGAGGCATTTATTGTTAAAAGTGTATCTTGGAAAATGAAAATACAGCCATAGGCTGATTTTTTTTTTTTGCCACTGGCTGGGCCAGGTGAGAATAAATGTCAAGTGTTGGTTATTATGGGTCATTTGTGGCCATGTGGTTGGGCAGGTCACCTCGGCGTGTTTCTAGGGGTTTGTCACTATTTGACGGACGGGCTGTTTAACCTGCTGAACACAACAGCTGCTAGACAATGGGCATCGACATGAGTGTGTGTGTGTGTGTGTGGGGGGTGGGGGGGTGAAACCCTCCTCTAAAGGGGGGCACGGGGGGCCAGCTGCGGATGGGTCCAGATGTGCTGCTGGGTGGACCTGACTGGCTGTAACCACACCATCCCCATTTGTCAGGCCGGATTAGTTTTATTCTGAAAATGCGACACACATACCTGCCACTGAAACAGCGACAGCCCAGAAGAGCCGCGGGCGCTACAATGCTAATGTTGTCGGGGGCTTTGACTTCTCCCAGCCACTGCACACAAACCGCTCCGTGCGACAGCCGCGCCACAGCCGCGCCACAGAAACCGCCACAGACGCATCCAACGCTCTCCGTCCCGGTGCGCGCTCTCCAGCCTCTCACGCCTCTTCCCATTTGGCAGGTGTGTCGTTAGAAGAAGAAAAAGAAAGAAAGAAAAAAAAATAAAAAGAAAAAGCCGACCGCGTCAGATTCTCCTAACACCCCCCTAAAGTGCGCGCCGTAATGGACGAAACGGATATCATGGACTTAACGCACCAGAAAGCCAAGAAGCGACCGCGTCCAATCAGTTCCGTGGACGAGTCCGTGCACGCTTCCCTCAAACGGCTGCCGATGCGAGCGGCGGAGTGCAGGGAGCCCTCCCTGATGTTCGCTGTCAGAGGAGAGCCCGTCCCCGCAGCGTCGCTCAAGCAAAATGACCATTCGGTGACCTCCTCTCCAACCACAGTTATGCCGGCGCAGGTAAAGAAAAGAAAAGAAAAGAAAGAAAACAAGACAGAAAGACAGAATGGGAAGGTTAAGGGGATCCTCTTAGGATCAGGGACGATCTGATACTTTTGGCGCTGTGGCAAAAGTGACGGACGCTCCAGGTTTATTGAAATTGCCCGCTTGCTTTCATTTTTTACCCAGGCTGCGCACATATTGTTTCATTCTAACGTGATCGTGTCACATGGACAGTCATTCGGTCCCTTCTGGCTTTGGTTTTCGTCTCAGAGCTCTTTTACCTTTTCTCTAAAGAGATGGGTTAATACCGTAACCCTCAGTTAGTTGGATGTTAAACAGGCTCCGTTTTCTTCATTTTTACTCTGCGTCTGTAACTTTTGGGGTTAAAGTAATCTTTTCTTCTGAGGGCTTCACATTTTTTTTATGTTCTAATGGTGTTTGTAGGTTAACATGAGGCAGTTCCCCCAAATCCTATTATGTTCAAATCATTATTGCTCATTTCCAAGAGAGATTGATGCTCCAAATTAATTTGGTTTTGGAGATTATGGCCCACAGGAGTAGATGCTTATGGATTGTGGCAACATTCAGGTCAAGGTCAGGCTGCTTTATCCTGCAGTAAAAAAAAAAAAGGAATCTGTCTTTCTATTCCTGGCTGTGGTTCATTTTCATTCTTACAATATTGTTAATGAGTCTTGCTTTTGTTACTATGATCCTGATTTTACATTAGTCTTGGAGCAGAAATTAAAAAGAGTGAACACAGTCTGAAATCTCCTGTTATAATAACTTCTTCCTTTGTGCTCCTTCAGGATAATCGCTCCAGCATGTCCAGGCCCATGATCACACGGTCACCAGTGTCTCCCCTGAGCAACCAGGGCATCCCTACACCTGCTCAGCTCACTAAGTCCAACGCCCCCGTGCACATCGATGTTGGAGGGCACATGTATACCAGCAGCCTGGCCACCTTAACAAAATTTCCGGAATCCCGGTGAGTCTGCCTAATGCGTTTTAAAGTGTGAAGGGAAGATAAAGTTTGTGGTTTGGGGGCACGGTGCTTTGCCTGTGTCAGGTAAAACCAAATTCACAGTTCCTGTTGTTTGTTCGAGAGGGATGTGTTTGGCAGCCGCAATTTCCTCGGAGTTTAATGTCGGCCTCTTTAATGCTTAATGTCACGATGTGACAGTCAAATGTCACAACTCTTCAGATCACATCTCGTGGATGCTCTTGGAAGAGATTGCTCCGTATTTCAAAACTGTGTTGTCATTTAAAAAAAAAATAAAAAATCATTCATATATATATATATATATCACAACATGTCTCCTTGTGAAATAAACAATTTGGAGAAGCTGTATATGCAGAATGCAGAGACACAGACAAAAGCGACTTGGTTATTCTGACAGATGTCACAGCGGCAGTAAAGAGCCAAAGGGCATGGAGCCATCTGGAGGCTGGGAGGCCTCACTGTCGCTCCCAGCCCAGGCCTGGGGGGGACTGGCACTCTGCCTCAGGCCACCAAGCACCAGCTGGCCCTGACCTCTCCAGACCTCTTCTTTCTTTCTTTCTTTCTTTCTTTCTTTCTCTCTTATTCTTATTCTTCCTGATAATCAAGCAAGACCTGAGCAAAACACGTGAATTTCCGTTTTGAATAATCGCCTGAGCTATGCTTTCAAACATGAAAAGCTAAACCAGTTCATCTTGCCATGTTGTCTCCCAACCACCTTGCTACACTCCCTTCCCGCCTAACCCCTCCACCCCTCCTCCATCTGTGCAGAATTGGTCGTCTCTTTGATGGCACAGAGCCTATAGTCCTGGACAGCCTGAAGCAGCACTACTTCATTGACAGGGATGGACACATGTTCCGCTACATCCTCAACTTCCTCAGGACGTCCAAGCTACTCATTCCAGACGACTTCAAAGTGAGTGGATGTCCATCTGAGAAACTGTAAAGTCCCATCAGCCAGTCAGCAGTCCTGCAACTTAGCACACACAATGAATGCTAAGGCTGTGGAATGCCTCTCGGTCTCTGATCTTCCTTGAATTGCAGAGAGAGTTTGCCATGCTGGAGACAAAACATCAGGGCTGTGGGAGACAAAGCTCAGTTATAATGAGTTTCCACAATGATACATGTAATTTGCTGGTCTCCAGCAAGTGATTCCCTGATATTCTATTCAGATAAATGGCAAATCCAGTTAAGTGTCCTTGTGGCCCATAAGCACACTTGCATTGGTGGCCACACAAATACTATTTATGCATTTCTCTGTACCAAGTGACCCTCCATGGTGACTCTCAATGTATGTGACACATTAGCATTCCTTCTTTTTACTTGTATGTGTCATTTAGTCTGTAATTACTCCATTTGCCCGAGGATAAAACAAATAACCACATTATCTGATGGACTGTCCACCGAATGAGTCCATCAGTGGAAAGTATGCCAGTTAAAATAAGCAAAAGCTCAAGTTCAAGCTAAGGCCATTTTCACATTGGTAGATTTTAAGTGAAGCATGAGAAAACTTGAGTTTGGTCACAGTTTAAGTCCTGCTATCCCGCAGGAAAAAAAGATTTGCAGCTCTAGTACATTTCATGCTACGTCTCTCTGACTTTGGATCTTTTGTCATTTTTGCTGATTGACCTCTTGACAGAGGCTTATGGCTTGTTCATGTTTGACAAATCTTTATAGACATTCTACTTTGTATTTCCATTTTTTTCTTCAAAGGCATTAATTTTAAGCAGATTTTCTCATGCTATTACGTTTTATTTTGCTATCCAGATGCGCCGGTTCTTGCAATTTGGGACATTTCTTACCAATTTAGTTCAATTTTACAATTTCAGTATCCAAATTTCAGGAAGTCTTCTGATGAATGAATAATGTGGGGAGATTAACTACTCAGACATTATTTTTAGATATTAACAAAGGATCATTTTATCAAGCAGCATCTCAATATATAAAAAATCTATATTACAAAGGCAGAAAACAGCTCTTTGCCTGTTCCTTGAGACTTAGAAGTAAACTATGTCTAAACTACTTTCCACAGGAGTACAGTCTACTGTACGAGGAGGCTCGATACTTCCAGCTCCAGCCTATGCTTGCTGAGCTGGAGCGCTGGCGCCAAGACCAGGAGCTGGGTCGGGTGTCCCGCCCCTGCGAGTGCTTGGTTGTGCGCGTTGCGCCCGACCTGGGTGAGAGGATCACGCTTAGCGGCGATAAGGCCCTCATTGAAGACGTGTTTCCAGAGATCGGCGATGTCATGTGCAACTCTGTGAATGCTGGCTGGAACCACGATTCCACACATGTCATCCGCTTCCCGCTGAATGGCTACTGCCACCTCAACTCTGTCCAGGTATGAAAGTTTTGGATTGTGAGTGTTTCAGTGTTTAGGTCTATTTTAAATCTTGTCTGAAGACATTGACTGAAGAAATGACCTGCTAAGTCTGCATCAGTTCTCAGGATTGTGGGGTTAAGAAAGTCTATGCTCTTGTCTGATTGCAGACTTTTTTTTTTTAATTAACCAAAACCAAAACCCTTGCAGAAAAATAGGTTCTTTGATGAGTTCTTCAAAGCATCAACTCCGCCAGTCATCACTGCACACGTCTAGCTAAATCTGCACTTCTCAATGATCTGACTTGAATAATAATCTTTACTTGGTCATGACCAGCTTCAGCAGCCTGATTTATCAGTTTGATACAACCCCTTTTTTCTCCTTTCTCTATGTCAACCGATTAATAATGATAAAATGGTTAATGATAGATTAATAAAATGACTTCCACCCTTCAACAACAGAAGGCAATCAGATAAATGAGGAAAGTGACTCACAGAACGGGGAAAGGCCAATGCATGATTTAGCAAAACAAACACACACTGATATATGGGCCTTATGGTCCCAGGGCTAATTGGTTGCTTCTCTTTTGGACTTTGCAGATGTCTTAAAAATAGACACAAGTCTGCCCAAAAAAGAAATGCATTCGAAATTATTAGTCCTGTGTAGGAAAATGCAGCCTTTGTAGAATAAATAAAACAAACTAACTTATTTGGAAATGATTAATAGGGGGAACAGTTGAATACAAACAATCTCCTGCAGCGTACTCTACAGAAAAAGACGCACAAATAATCAGATAATATAGTTATTTCATAACTAATAGAGATTTTGAACATTCATATATGTAAGAATCTACATACAGATAAAACAATAATTAACTCTATATGAAATTTAGGGTTTTATAGTCTGTTGATTTTTGTTTAACGACCTCTACATAAAGCCTTTTCTACAGTGATTAAAAAGCTACTAACACCCACTGAAACTTGGCTCTTAAGTGCCATGGGAAAGTGACATTAAGACCCACAGGAAACTACTCTGCAGTCGCCAGGTGTTTCTATCGGCTCAAAGCTCAAACTTGACATCAGTAGAAACACAAGACCTGGATTTACATGCTAAGAGTCCACATTGTCTTTCAACTTACACACATACAGGATGTAATGACTCTTGACAGCAATAAATTTAGATTTAAAACTTAGATTTATCTTCCACAGTCTGGTTAGAAATAGTAAATTAATCCAATTATCTTAAAGTTACTTAACTCTTATTTGAATAACAGTGAGCAGAATATTTCACTCCTTGTTGTCAAAGTGCAACGCAATAGAAAGCAGATTTTTAGCAGATGTATCTGTTTTATAGTTATATCTATATATGGATTCATATTGTTTGTAAAGAAAGAAAATATATATTTGGTGTTGAACGGTTTTTATTTCATTCTCATAACTAAGAGCCATTATACAAATGTTTTTCATTAATATTACACTTTACTAAAAGCATTAAATATGATACAATGATTGGTTTATTGATCCCCCACTCAGAATATATTTGGCCATACTGTCTTTTTCGTGATAACATATTGATATCCCACTTATTCATTGATGATACTTTTCCCAGATACACATCAATAACTGACGAAAAGAAGGCATATTTGAAAAGTTTTCACAAGGATTTGGATCGTGTTTTCATCTCCACCTCCTTTCCAAAAACACACAAACAGCCCCATCTCCTAAGTGTTTGAGTCGTGGAGAGCGAGCAAGCGACTGAGCATGCTCACTTGCAGGTTGTCCCGAGGCAGGGCCCATAATCCTGTTTGGTTATTAAAGCACGCTGGCGGTGAATGCTGTATCTGCGGCTAATGGAGACAGGGCGGAGGGGTGGGGTGAGTGGGGGGGGGGGGTTGAGAGAAGGAAGGGGAGCAGAAAGAGCTGCCAGCAGTCGGGGACCTTTGTAGTTTTGGCGGAGGCTTGGGCCTGGGGGAGAACGGGGGAAAGGGGGAGTTTGCTGAGCAGCCCATACTGAGCCAAGTGGCAGAGAGAAAGCCTCACTGCTCCCTGGGGCCTCTTCGATGGAATGTGATCCTACAGCCCCCCCACCCCCCCGGACACGTCTGTAGATGTCTGCAAGGCTGCAAGATCAGGAGCAGCCACACACTTGCTCACACAGACCAACACACATGCAACAAAAACAATGAAAGCGAGGCATGCCGCAGTATGAGAGGCTCTCGGTTTTATGAATGTGGATCCAAATTCCCGTTACAGGCCGTATGTTGCTTCAGCTTAAACCCAAAGCCATTTTCAATGCTGGACTTAGCACTAGCACAGGAGAACATAACTGGAGGACTTTATAAACTCATTTACCAGCGTTGTAGTGGCAAACAAAAGGCTAGATTGTGCAGTAAAGTTTTAGGATCTCAGTATATGCTTCAAATAATAAATCTAATTGACTTTATGGTTTCCTCTTTCATTCAGCAATAAAAAGGGATACTAATTGTGGATTTTTTTGTATATATTAAGTCTTGATTGCGTCCCTCTATCTCATACACAGGTTCTAGAGCGTCTCCAGCAGCGTGGATTTGAGATTTCTGGCTCCTGTGGTGGAGGTGTGGACTCATCCCAGTTCAGCGAGTACGTCCTGAGGAGGGAACTGAGGAGGACAAGTCAGCGAGGGCCCAATTCAAACAGGATAAAGCAGGAGCAGCTGGACTAGAAACCTCCCAAACAGTAGGAGGAGCTAGACTTTTCTGTGGCAGGCAAATGCTGCAGAGCTTTGTGGACTCTATTTTTCTTCACTTCCTTGTTGATGTTTCTGTTTTCTTAAACTTGAGAACCGTCTAAAGAATAAAAATGAAGTGCAACAGGAGATTTTTGCCATAAGAAGATACAAGACATTTGATAAGTTTGAGAGTGCAAGGACATTTGTGATTGTCTAGCCCACATAAACCAATTTAAAAAGGATTTATATATGCCGGATCCCCCGATCAAAGTTTGTTTTAAAACTTGGAGCCTACATTAGGTTGAATATGATTTGTAATTTACCCATATAAGTTAAAAGTCTTTTATTGCGGATGTAGTGTATTGCATAGCTTGTGACAAGTAACTTGATTTCAACGTCTCATTTGCATATTGGCTAAATTCATTTTCACTAATCATTTTTAAAAAGTTATTTGTGTTTATTAAAGTACAGAATGTCTCAGTTGTAATAAACAGTTTCAATAATAGCAACTCTTCTTTTCACTGGTAATACGATGTTCAATATTGTGATCAGAATGAATTCTTTTTACGTGGTTTAAGGCTTTATTAAGGTTCATACCATCAAGTGAAAATTACAATAATACTATCAAAATATAACGTCTAAGACCATATATAAAAATGTAAAAAAGTAGAAATTTGTAAACTATAATCTCATATTATTTGCCTAATTTGGGTATATGAACTGCAAATCCCATGTGCTACCTTGGGACTTAAGTAATTGGGTCATAATCTTCCTCTGAGTCAGGACTTGTAAATTTTCATTGTATATGTGTTTGTGTTTTTTACATTGAATCTTTTCAAATGAAATTTGTTGCCTCAGACATGACTGAACGGATTAAAAGCTTATTGTACTCAACATAATAAGAATACTTTTATTTGTAGCACATACTGACATGAAGTTGCTCAAAGTATTTCTAAGATTGCCGAAACACCTACACTCCCTAGATTAAAGAGGTGTGAAAAAATGTGAAATAAATCTCAGCTAAAGTGGTAACTTTGTCTGTTCACTGTTCTTTCTTTTTTTTATTCTCTTCGGAGGCCTTTGTCATGGATGTTACATTGTTGTTGAACCACAGCTTATGGTTTAATAACTCCATCAGTTTGAATTGAGTTAATTAGTTGTATTTCAGCTCTTTTTAACCAGAGAAATTAATAAAGCTACCCAGGCCATATTGTACCTTGGAGGATTTATGCTGGTGCATCAGTGACTACACGGAGCATTTTTACTTACTCATATTGAATAGAGTCGACTTCTCCACGCAAGTCCTGTCAGTTGTGTTTTCACATATTCCTGCAGGGCCTAGATCTAAAGTGAAACCCCACACTGAGCCCTGTCGTCTTCTCTCCATCCCTTTTGGCATAATCTCCACTTTCTTTGGCTATCTGCGGTTTATGCTATATGTCTCCCTCTCTGGCCTCCATGCCCCAGATTCCCTTTAGAGCTGATAGCCATAGACTAGAGGTGCAGCTGTGTGACCACAATTCTTTGTTCTAAAAAAAAAAAGCATTTGTATCACCCTTAGTTTGTATCTACAATCGAAAAGAATTTTGACTACTGAACAAACAAAGTTTTTAACAAAATTCTTTCAAATCAATTCAACAAACTCTGCAAATAGAGATTTATTTTTTCCTCACACATATTCACGTGGAAGGAAAAGGAGTGAAATTATTTTTGGAATCACTGACAGGTCCATACAAACAAGCTACAGAAACAGCTAACACAATTTTCAAGGATAAGTGCCTAAATTCAGCTGTCAGCACAACTGTTAATACAAAGTATATTAAAAGCCAACCAGAGAAATGTCCCTTAAAGGGAAATATATTTCAGCAAAAGTATTTTACAGTGAAACCATTGGTAAATACTAAGTGGTAAATCGCATCAGCTTGTTTTCTTACACCCCAGTCTAGTTTAGTGCATCCATATTCAAAACCTGTTCATTAGTTAAATCAGACTTTGAGAAGATTTTCCACAACCTCCTTCAGCTTTTCATGATAGACAATAAAGTGCTGATATCAGATGGGAAATTCCTTAGTTAAGTCAAGGGTGGCTGTCAAAGGTGTCCAACAAATGGGAAACACCTCCTGAACCTTAAAGGCATGTCTTCTCATTAGGTGCTGAACACCATCTAAAAGGCTATCCTAATATGGGGAGGAAATTCAGTTACTACACTAACTTAGAATCTCTTTTTCAGTTGTCACCTCAAAGCCAACCTCAGAAGAAGTCTTAAACAGTGTCTTGGAGGAAAGCTCACCACGGGCAAATAGTATCCTTACAGATTTAAGTGATCAAAATATATTCTAAATGAGAAGAATGGTTGTTTTCTTCAAACCAAAGGTCTCAGAGACAGGACAGGCCTGTATTTGGTTATAAATTCTGTGGTAGGACACTACACTTTTTGTGTATATTATTTAAGTTTATAACCTGTGGGGCAGCTTGAACATAATGAGACCTTTCCAGCCTTATCTCCTCTCCACTTCCTGGATTCATACAAACTTGAAAAGGAATTACAGATATTCTCCTCTCAGGACACAGTCTGCTGGAGAAAAGATGAATGGTATTAAGAGACTGACTTCCAGTCCTTTAAAGGACAGGGGTTTGGAGGAGAATAAAGCAATGTGAGATCCTCCCCTTTTCAGTGATGTTTCTGTGATCATGTATTTTCACCCGCTTTTTTTTCAAGTGATTATTTCAACTCATCAAAAAGCAGAGTAGGGCCTAAAGAAAGTGACTCTGGCCATCTTCCTCACTCTCTCAAGGCTCCGCTTTTTCACCAGTGGTAAAGGTCTGCGAATAGACTTATTCACCTCTTCTTCACATTAGCACCCTCACAGAGTTCTGCTCTTCCAGCCAATACAAGCAGCTGCCACAGTTTTTAATAACTGAGTGGACTGCAGACATGTATTAGATGCTATACAGTCCACTGGATTTAGACTAACTTTATTCGGAGTCTTCTCTTGTTCTGTGTTGATCTGTAGGTAATATTTTGTACTGTAGTTGCCACCTACCTTTATTGAAAACGCCTTTTGGCTATTTCATGCCAGCAAGATAATTATAAATGTAACCTATGGCAAAAAAGCAAAAACATAACTCCCACATTTTTCCCTTGCCATTTCTCTCTCTCTCTCTCTCTCTCTCTCTCTCTCTTTCATTCTCTTCTCCCTCCATCTCCCACCCTAAGCCTCAGGAGCTGATTTCAAATTTTCAAAGGTATCTCATAGTGAGCCTGAAAGATTGAAGGCTCATAAATACCTTTATGATTATAATGGTCACATATTTCTACCCATTATTTCTCATGGAAAAATTAGCTCATTTGTGTGATGAACGCCATCAAAGAGGCCTTAAATGTCCCTAAATGGACAATGGATTTAAAGACAAAATCTCAGATGATCACTGATTTTAAGGATAATATGTCAGTGACTTTGTTCAAGTTATAAAGCATAAACTCTCTGCTGGGGTATGCATGTTGACTAAAGTCAGTCTTACCTCCTCAAGGACATACACAATGCACACATTTTTAACACAATGTCAATGTCAATGTTTATTACTAAAAACATTCCTGCAGTTAAATGTTCTCTTATACTACCCGTCCGGGGAGAGAATGGCAAATTTAGGGTTTGTGTTCATTGCTAACTTTCCCATAAAGGACACTTCAACATTGTATTACGATCTAATTTAACTATGAAAGGCATAACAATATGAATTCACTATGTGTATAATGAAAAATACCCACACATATGACAATATTGACAACATTGTCAGTTGTTTATAGATAATAAAAAAATCAGCGAATCAGCTTTCAGTTTGATATTTGATATTCATAGGACAATAAATGTTTACAAAACATACCTCAACGTGAATCAGAGCGGTATAATATGAAGATGTCTTTAAGTAAGATTCAAATTCCCCTCAAAAGTAATGACAAAACAAACATATACTTTCATTCACAAATATTGTTGCGTCTTTATTTAGATAACTAAAAGTGTCAGAACTTGTGATTGAAAAGCCATCCATGAAGATTTTATTGAATCTCACAGCATCTTAAAGCATTTCCAGAGCATTTGGTTTCCCCCAATAAAATCATGATTTGAAAACACATTGTAACAGTTTAAGTGACTTAAGGACTGTGTTTGGTCAGATGTCGTAAGTCTACTCCAACATAGAATGCCTTGAATGTTTCCTTACATACTCCACAAGGAAAGGGATTTCTATTTGTACAGCTCTATTCACACACAAGGCAATTTGAGGTGCTATAGAAATACATTCAAAAAGATATAACAGGAACATCAAACACAGCATGACAGCTTCAGATGCATTTCGGACAGTTATTCAATTAAACTTTCAGGCATGTGTACCAATTACAAGGAGAGCAGTCCAGTTAAACATTCAGGCTGAACCCTAACTTAGCTTGACTAATATGTGCATTTTACTGTGACCAAGATTCAATTCTTGGCCATTAGCTTGATATGGAATGTGCTGTCCAATTTGTGAGGCGCAACTTGTTAAAAAAAGGAAAAGACATACAGTCCTTTCTTTCTATGGATGAAAAAAATACATTGCACTCACCATTTTGAATAATCAGAGCACCCACAATTCAATGGCCATTTTTTAATCTCCTTTACTTCGTCCGCATATTGGGCTGCAGTAAGTATCAATATGTATCAAGTGGGGAATTTAAGGTAGTTTACATTGTTTATTTATCAGTCAGGCCTTGAATTATGGCATGCTTGCAGTGAAGTATTTTAGACTGGACTATGGCTGCTGCAGGCCCGTTGGCATACACTGTACATTGAGAGGGGATCATTTATATTCTACTCCAGAGGTAACAGAAGAACATGAGATTGGGAAACAGCTCAAACACCACTTTGCTTGTGAGGCTTAAGGCGGGCAGAAGTTAAGCTGTGTGTGTGTGTGTGTGTACGTGTGTTTTCAAAGCACATTCAAGAGAGTACCGATTTTTTTTTCAACTCCGTCCAAAAATCTCGTATACATACAATATGTCATTTTGAGTTATACCTTCATCATCATGGTTTTTACATAAGACCGAATGGCTCAGCTTTGGGGTTATGAAGTGTTGTAACTTTTGAAAATCTCAGCTGATCTTAAACATTGAAGATCAACCAATGAAGCTTCAGGTAAAATGCTGAAGGCGCCACAACCATCATTGATAAAGAGGCTATCCAGTGTTTTCAGCTGCTGAGACGATTACATATCTGTTCTTCGTCACCACGTCAACAAACTTGCTCCCTAGCTCAAACTTATTTTTCGCCTTTGCTCCTTCTCCCCCACCCTCCTTCAGCTGAGAAATTAATAAGGGATGCCCAGCCTTGATTAAAAGGTCTCAACTATACTGTGCTCACCAGTAGCAAGCCTTTCATTCGGGTAGACCTGCATGTAAGGAGTGCTCTAATGATTCTGGAGCTTGCCATTCGAGGGCCACCCATCCATCATAGTGGTAAGGCCAGCGGCTTTATTATAATACAGAGGACAGACATGCTCCGAGGCTATGTGGGACACAATAGAGGTCTTTCAACAGACCTATAAATACATGATCTGTCAGAGTTGCTGTCCTAAGGGCGCTCTCAGCCAGGCTCTAGCCCTCCGGTCGGCCATCACTTATGCTAAGATATGCGCCAGCCCTCGGGGTAAGGCTAAGGCTCAGTTCATTTCAGCCCCTCATCAACCACCACATTCTACCTCCAGCCACGAGAATAAATAAGAACTAGATGAAAAAGTGATTCATTATGATGGAGAGCAAAACCTTAACAAAACAAACAAATTGAGGGAGTGAAAATAAACAGTGATAGCCACCTATTGACTCTTTGGCTACAGCATCTGCAAGCTGTTGCTTAATACCAAAGGATTTTGATCCAACAATAGACTTCAGCATGAGGGAACATATCGACCATGTGGGCTACATGTGAAGATTTTGTTTTAGTAATATGCTTCATATTGGCACAAATATACAGCGTTTTTCAGATAACACACCAAATT